GAAGTCCCTCGGCCCTTAAAGGGGAAAGGTTGCCTACCCCTGCTGATGGATGTCAGCATAGCCAGCTTCCCCAAGAAGTCTCCTTTCTCTAGGTCCAGGGGTGGCAAACTTCCATACCAGATCCTGGGACTAAATCTGGGGGGGTACCCCCAAATATCCCCACCTTCCCCTCTCGGGTACTTTGGGTAGCCACACTCCCTTCTCCATGACACCATTTTTAGTGGTTTCCTAGCTTCTGTTTGCTCCCGCTACCCAGGGGCATCACCTAGCGGGGGTGCAGGAAGTGTGGACCACACCGGGTGACACCTCAGAGGTGGGAAGAAGCTGCCCTTCAGGTCTGGTGGCTTTGCTGGCCAGCTGAGGAAGCATGTCTCCTTTCTTTGCTGCCCAGCCAGCAGCTCCACCAGACCCAGAAAAGGCCGCTGAAGAGAGGAGGGGCAATATTAAAAAATGATCCACACTGGGGGTCAAATATAGTAGGAACGCCACTGCCATCAGCAATTCTAAAAGGTTGAAATGGCTTCTCCTAGACTTTGCATGATTTGAGTGTTGGACTACGCCTCTGGAGAGCAGGGTTCGATTCCCAGCTCATCCTCGAAACCCTCTGGGTAACCTTGGGCATGTCACCTGCTCTCAGCCTCAGGGGATGGCAATGGCAAACCTCCTCTTGCCAAGAAAACCCCAGAATAGGTTCACCTTAGGGTTGCCATACGTCGGAAATGGGTTGAGGGCACATCACAACAACAAGACGTTGCTACTAGCGGTAACAGCTCTCAACTGACAAAATGCTCATATGTTTTGTTTTAGACGGTTAGGAGGGGATATGATAGCTCTCTTTAAATATTTGAAGGGATGTCATATTGAGGAGGGGGCTAGCTTGTTTTCTGATGCTCCAGAGAATAGGACACACAACAATGGATGCAAGCTACAGGAAAAGAGATTCCAGCTCAACATTAGGAGGATCTTCCTGACAGTGAGAGGTGTTTGACAATGGAACACACTCCCTTGGAAGTTGGTGGAGTCTCCTTCTTTGGAGGGCTTTAAACAGAGACTGGATGGCCATCTGTCAGGGATGCTTTGATTTTGAGTTCTGACATGGCAGGGGGTTGAACTGGATGACCCTTGGGGGTCTCTTCCAACTCTAGGATTCTATGATTCTATGATTTATTTGTCTTTGACCCTGTCCATGACTGAAATTGACATCAGCCCTCTGGATCAAAGAGGTTCCAGGACTGTCCGTAACGGCTCACCTGTCCGCCTCCTGAGTGTACTCTACAGCATCCCTGGGCTTCAAAACCCCTGCAGGGAATCTTGGGGAATCTGACTAGACAGAACCCAGACAAACTGGATTGTGTTTCCCCACACAATTTCTGTTTATATTCCTCACCAACCCACTAGCAGATGCACAAATTAGAAGTATTGGAGCAGATGGCTGGTGCATGCCCAATAGTGCTAGTACTTGTATAATTTACATATTCAGGGCAAATCATTTAATCAAAGCATAAAGGCTGCAAAGAGCAATGGGAAAGGGACAAACTTTTTTCGTACCTCTGCAGCCAGTTGTATCAGGAGCTTAACTCTGGGCATGAAACAAAGAAGACATTTTTCAATATCATACCGTGAATGAGGTGAAGTTGCCAATCCTCCAGCTTAGGCTGGAAATGATCACAATTTAAGCTCTATCAAGTTCCCTATGGTTTGCTCTGCATATGTGTGTGCATCTTATATGTTTGTGTGTGTATATACTCTTGTTTTAAAAGCTTTTATTTTTTTGGCTTTTTTTCAGATTTTGGGATATTTGCATGTACATAATGAGATATCTTGAAGATGGGACCCAAGTCTAAACACACAATTCATTCATGTTTCATAGACACTGTATACACATAGCTTGAGGGTAATTTTATACAATATTTTTAATAATTTTGTGCATGAAACAAAGTGTGTGTCCACTGAATCATCAGAAAGCAAAGGTGTCACTATCTCAACCACTCATGTGGACAATTTTGGAATATTTTGGTTTGTGTATTTTCAGATACTCAACTTGTAAATAAAATGAAATGTGCTCACTGGCCTCTAAAGGTCTGGGTTTCTAAAACTGCATTTAAACAGTTAAAGTCAAATTAAAGAGGTGAATGGATTTAGGTAAAACTAAAGCTACATGTAGAAATTTCATCTCAGTTTAAAAGAAAATTCCAGGAATTTCCTCAGCCAGAGCTGAGAACCCATCTTCTCGTAAGACAGATGCTTCACAGCTATTCTTTTGCAGCCTTTGTTCAGGGAATTGTGAATGAGAAGTTGTCCGAAACCTCCCACTCCTCCTGATCAGCATGTACAAGTGTTTCTTCACCGAGCAACACCACAACCATTTAAAATCCAAAGAGCATGTGCATACATTTGTGTAGGCAGCCCCCAATACATCCCACCCATCCCCAACACAGGAATTGTCACACGGGGAAGACTGGAAGTTTAAACTGGCAAGAACCCGCACTTATGCAGCGTATTAGTAGCAATTGCATGAATGGTTTTCAAACAATGTTGCACACAAACCGCTTAGAATCTGACATGAAAGTGACATGAACCAGCAAATAGTCATTTTCAGGAAAATGATTTCATTTCTGTTTCATTCACAAATTCACTTTTTTTGCGCAATTGCTGTAGTGTGAAAGCCATTTGCGGGATTCTCCCCATTTCTGTTCTTGTCAGATTTTCCATGGTTCCTTAGGGATAATAGCCAGGGCTCTTAAAGGCACAGCTACTCAGACAAAGGCAGAGGCACACAGACACACAAGAGAAAAAGCTTGCTTCTTCCTCCCGCGCCTCTCTGTGTGTGACTGTCTCTCCTCCTCCAGCCAGGGATCTTAAAAGAGCAGCTGCTGAGGGAAGTCAGGAACACTGCAAGTTTGCTTTCAGTGCTACTTTGTCCTGCCCTTCTTCGTAGCCAGAGCTCTTAAAACTAACAGCTGATATAAGGGCAGAGAGAGAGAGAGAGAGGAGAGTGAATGAATGCTTGCCTCCTGGTCTGCTGGAGCCAGCAGCAATCAACAAACTGTCCCCTTTAAGGGATTTTGGACTTCAGCTCCCAGAAATCCAGACTACTGGCCAACATGGCTGAGGCTTCTGGGAGCTGAAGTCCAAAATCCCTTAAAGGGGTCAGCCTTCCCTCCTAGCCACAGCTCTGAAAGAAACAGCTACTGAGGGAAGGAAGGGACACACACATGCCTTTCCCCCATAGCCAGGATGTGAAAATCATTTACACATTTGCTTGCTTTTGTGGGATGCACATGCTTTAATCATTATCGGGATGGAGGCACATTTGGTCCTGTTGTGTAAAAACCATTCCCACATTTGCATGCAAGTGCGGGTTAATCTTGGATTCTGCACAGGATAACAGCGCTTTGCGTGTGAAAACCCTTTGTGCAATTGTGAGTTAATCATGGGTTCTTACCATTTTAAACTTCCAGTTTCCCCCCGTGTGATAAACTCCACAGCTCCGTTCTTTCTGGGTTAAACATAAGGGGAGTTTCAGAGATACTTGTCTGCATCAGCAGAGCAGCTACATCAGGAAAGAAAAGAAAGCCTGTTGGATAATCACTAAATTCCTGTGTCATACAGCTCAGTTAGGCTGCATCCACACTGCAGAAATCATCCAGTTTGACACTGCTTTAACTGCCATAGCTCAGTGTGATGAAATTCTGGGCACTGTAGTTTGTTTTGGCACCAGGGCTCTCTGGGAGAGAAAATTAAACGTCTCGCAGAACTACAGCATTGCATCGCATGAGCCATGGCAGTTAAAGCAGTGTCAGCCTGGGTTATTTCTGCAATGTGGATGCAGCCTTAGTCTCAAAGGTGCTACAAGATCCTTTTGCACACCGTTCCCCAGACTTCACAGGAGAACCCTTAAGGTTTACTCTGTGCCAAGGCATTGTATCTGTTTGCTGTTGTTGTGTTCCTTCAGGTCATTCTGGGCTTATGGCGACCCTAAAGCAAACTTGTCACAGAGTTTGCTATGCTCCTGCCAAATCAGAGGAAGGGAGCGGCAAAGAAAACAGAGGCAAGGACAAGCAGCTACACTCTCTTGTTCCTTAGATCTAGAGAGCAAGCTTTCTTTCAAAGCTTTCATTAGCTTTTAGCCTCTTCTTTGGCAAGATATTTCAGCAGTGGTCCGGCTCCTCACCCATCATTTGTTTTCCTTTAGCCGGAAACTGTAGTGCTTCAGAGAGACTCTCTGTTCCTCTGCATGAAGTACCCTTTGCAAGTTCAAATAGTCATATACCTTCTGAAAGTGCTTGTTCGTTTGTTTATTCCTTCCTTCATTGGAAAAAAAAAGGGGGTTTTTGTTTTTTTTAGAAACAAAAAGCAGCTTGGGTTTTTTGTTTTGTTTTGTTTAAACTAGATTTTTTGGATGAAACCAGATATTTTTTATATTAATGTTTTAATGAAAAAAAAATGAATCCTGCTTATTGTATTAATACTGTGAAACATTATTTTATTTTATTTACATTAATCTTTTAGAAAGCTTGATCAACCACGTTTTAATGCTTTCTAACATCAGCAATCTAAAGTTCTTAGACTTTGATATGATTTACATCTTTCAATAAAACTTTGGGAGTTATATTAACAAGTTGGTAGCCTATTAGGACTATAGGAGTATAGCCAGTGTGGTTTAGCGGTTTAAGCATTGGACTATGATTCTGGAGGCCAGGGTTTGAATCCCGGCTCAGCCATGGAAACCCACTAGGTGGCCTTGGGCAAGTCACACTCTCTCAGCCTCAGGGGATGACAATGACAATGGCAAGGACAAACCACCTCTGAAGTAACTTGCCAAGAAAACCCCAAGATAGGTTTGCCTTAGGGTTGCCGTTAGTGGGAAACAACTTGAAGGCACACAACAACAACAACAACGGACTAAATTAGAAAATTCGGCAGTTCAGATGTTATGGCCACTAGCTTAAATAATAATTGTTCTTTTTAAAAGTGCAAGTTGTTTTGGTTGAACCTATGTTAATGAAAGGCTTTGTTTCGGAATGGCTTTTCTTGCACTATAAAATAAAGGGATTCAAAAGAAGCAACAGACACTGGATACTCATCTAAGAATGAATAACTGCCAATAAATTGTTGAAGTTTGTTCCAATTCAGACACTCGTTGTTCTGGCAAGAAGGCTGGAGAATAGTAATAACAGTTAGACTTTTAAAAATATATATAAATAATCATTTTTTAAAAAATGAATGTTTTTAAAAAGTATTTTTTGTTTGTTTGTTGCTTGTTATTGTTAACTACCCTCGAGTCGATCTCGACTCATGGCAAACCTATGATGAGTGATCTGCAAGAAGACCCTCTGTCCTTCCCTGCTCTGTTTAATTCCTGCAATCCCTTCATACCCATGGTGACTTCCTTCATAGAGTCCCTCCATCTGGCATGTGGCCTTCCTCTCTTCCTC